ATTTACTGACTCACTGCTTCATCGTGAGTCATATCCTTAAAATTCTGCATGTTTACTATGTTTCTCACCTAACCATTGCATATCTAGTAACAGTCAGCTTATGAACAGCTTTTGTCAATAGGGATATGATAAGAGTGAATTGACTTCTAGTGGGTGGTTGAGAAATGTACAGCATGCTGCTTGAGAAAGGGTTAATTCAGGCATGCCAAGATGTGTAAGGTTTGAGGTCCAGAAGACACAAGAAGACCTTAAATAGTATGAGGGCATGGATTAGTCATGAGGTTGGTAAATAAGAGTTGTTGTCAGTAAAGCCTAGGAAACATCCATAGTAATGCTTTGATGAATTGGATATCTCACTTTAGGGCTGTATGTATTAGCAAAGCAAATTCCACTTGAAATATATCTAGATCCAGTCTCACAGCTGTTTCTCCAGGATAACATACAGGGGGCGCAGATACCCAGTGCCACATGTCAGAGAGGCAGCAATGACATCTGAGAGAGGGGACAGTGCTACAAACAAGTACAGACTGTGCTCTGTTCAGTGACAATGTCTTGACCTGATTGCTCAGACCTGACAGGTTTGTAACCAGCATTAAACAGCAAAATCTGGTTTAATTTTTCCATTTGCTCAGTCTAGCAGTAGACTGGTAAAGCCATGAATCCATGATCTCTACAGTAAACTGTATAATTCTTCTAATATTTGGTTGTATTCTGAATTCACAAAATGACACATCGTGCTAGGAAAATTCTAATACATTTTATAGTTGGAACTTGCTTCAAGTGAACTGTGAGCTGCAAAGGGAAAAGATGGTCAAAACCCTCCTGGGATGTTATCACATACAGATGTAATGAGCCAGCACTTAGTCTGAGCAAGTCATTTCAGAACATTCAGTATCATAAAAATGTAGCTTGGCTCTCTTTTTTGTTATTAAAGCTTGGACTTTATCAACCTGAATTGCACCTGCTGCTTTGGTGACAGAGTTAGCCTTATGGCTACACTTCTCACTAACTGAGCAGGTTGCAGATGTGTTCTGATGTTCTCCTGGGAGCTGTGAAACAACCTCAATTTTGAGTTCTCTGATACTCAACTATAATACTGACATCCAGTTTAAGTTTCTGCCTAACTTTTAGCACAGAATCACTTGTTGTTTTCTAATGCTGTGATGTTCATTGTTTTGAAATTCAACAATGCTTCATGAGAGAAGTGGAATGCTGTAATATGTTTTATTTAAAAAGATATGTAGTAATAAAGAACGAGTGAAAACAAGCAGATGTAATAGCCCATTGTATCTTAGCTCAGCCCAAAGTCTATAAATTTTGCTTTTATCCAACTGAAAGAGGACTTTTTTTGAATGTCTGGGATTTGTTTCTTCTTGCCCAGCCAACAGATGACAAGCAGCTCTTGGAATTTCTGTGTGCAGCAATAGAAACTCTGTCACCAAGATTTTGTCTGTTTATCCTGAAAAAGGATCCAAATCTCACTATGGAAAAGTAATCTGGTAGTATTTGTTTTGTCCATTTCAAGTTAGACTCTAATAATAATTGAATGCAAAGATGGGAAGATAAGTCAAGTGGAAGGAAATCAGAAAAGAGCATGGCAGAAAACCTGCTGCACTCCTCTGTGTGTAAACCAGATCATTGGAGAGGCAGTGAGTCTTCTCCCTGGTGTGTGACAGTTGATTAAAAAGCCACAATTATTAGCATGGTGTTAGAATGGTAACTTGCTCAATCTCAAATAGCAGCTGTCTGTAGGAAGAGAAGAGTCATCCATTCAGGAAAAGGAAACTTTATTTGTAACTGTTTCTCTGTATAACTGTTGGTAGCTGTTAGCGTCAGCATCCTCGAGGTCTGATGGTTCTCTAAAAGAAGTTCAGAGCAATGACTAAAATGTAATCGCAGCTGGGAAGACTATGTGGCAAGGCAGTGAGGGCTGCCAAACACAATGTAATATCAGTAGCATGCAGCTTCCACAGATCTGCGCTGCATTCCCAGCAAGACCCTTCAAAACAAATTTTAGCCCTCATTATAAATCAGAAGTTGAAATGCAGACAAATGAAATCTTCTCTTTTGCTTTCCTGCTGAAAGTATCATCCTGGAAACTTAGTGGCTCATATAATGTAGGAGACTTCTGCTTGGTAATGTGCCACTCATTTCTTTTGATGCTGCATGGTGTGAGGCAAAGCTGTGTAAGTTTCCAGGACATGTAAAATTTTAAGGACAAGCACAAAGGCCTGTAAAATGACTTTGATACTGTTAAAATCTTGAAACCACCTGCAGATAATGCTATCCTTTCCTCTCATTTCCCTTCCCAGTTCTGAACTGCAAGACAGCCAAGAAAGCATTCCCAAGAGCTCTCCACAAAGTCTGAATCATTTGCAAACTTGTTTTAACTTCTTTTTCAGATTTAAAATAACTTCTGAGACTCTGCATGTGCCAAAGAATACATTGCAATGGTTCATACAGTGTGTTTGAGAAGAACACAGGACACACACAAAAAACAGGTTGTGATCTTGCATGTACATCCTACATATTTGCAGGAGGAGTGAGAAAGCAATGCTGTGGCGGCTTTGTGTGAAAAATGGCATTAGAAGACTTGTATTTATCACTGTAAGAAGCTAAATACTAAGAAATGTATAAACAGAAAATTGGAAGCTTATTCTACACAGGATACTAATTAGACATTTAATGCTGGTTTAAGGTTTTCACTGAGAGGGGAATTTGATTCCGGAAGGTTTCTGTAAGTACAGAGAGGAATTAGGTGCCCCAAGGTCTGCTGAACAAATTCTAACAGCCAGCTTCCAGTTTTACCTTTACAATGATCAATTATTTGAAAATGAATGTTTTCCTAGCAGAAAATCATCCTGAATATTTCCCATTTAAACCCTGTTGCATAAATATTTGCCTTTATTCAGCGATGAATATTCAATATAACATAGTGCTGGTTTGATTAATGCAATCATGGAGTTTACACAGACATACAGGGAAGGCAGAGCAGCTCACAATTTCCTTCTCTGACCGTCTTACATGCTTCATTTCTATGCTCCAGAAGAGAAATGTATGCTTTGTACTTCCACATGGGGAGAGTATGATCTGACTTATGGTATGGGGGCAGGATCTGTTTGTCTTGCATTACCTGGGTTAGTTTCACTAACGAGCAGTGTGTGTCTATGATTTTGATGTGCCTGTATTATAATCTCATCAGTAAAATTAAATAGCGTCAAAACAGTCTTTAAAAATAACTAAATAAATAACCTGCAGTGGGAAGGGGTCATCTGAGAGAATGGAACTGGTTAACTGGTTATATTCTTTGTTAGGGAAGAATCTTACTTCCTGGTATTACTACAGGTGGGTTATAAAGGATGAAAAAACTTTTAGTTACCTGAAGAAAATTATTCTAGTAGTGGGCAAAAACACGAAACATTATTGACAACCTGAAGTGTCTAGTTTGGAGCTTGGAAAGGTATTCCAGAAACCAATTGAAGCAGAGACTATTTGTGTTAGTAGCCATGCCAGTGCCCTAATAAGGGCCCAGATGTAAATGCTGAATCCCAGCAGCCAGAGCCTTGGGTCCATTTCTGAACTTAAACCTCGTTTCCATGGATACCAGTGGTGAAAACCTGTCTCAACTATAGTATCTCTGAGACAAGAACTGTCACTTAACCCTTGGGGGCAACAGACGGTTTGTACTGTGGTTTAATGGACTGAGGGGCAGCTCCAAATGCTGACATGCCATAAGTTTTTCAGCTATATAAACTTCAGTTTTGACAATCTAGGAGAAAGTGAGGATCAAGGATCTGATTTTGTATCGTGCGGAATGAATCGTGTCTGGGAGGACTGACATGTATTTGCACGCCACTCCCAATCTGCCAGTTTAATGTCTAAATACAGCATGTGTGTATTTTGTATAGTTTTAACAGAAAATGCTACTTGTCATGCTTATGAAGCGATCTCATGCCTTTTACCTGCTCTCATCTGCAAACTGCCATGTATGGTGAATATTCAGCATCATCTAAGGGAACTATACAAACTTTTCTTCTGTGTTTAGTACACAGTCCTCCTCTACATCTGAATGTAGCAGCACTCTAATGAGAACCAAAGTCCACTGCTTTTTATTTGCAGCATTAGCAACACCAAGTATGTAGAAACTATGGAGTGTAGATCAAGGGAGTGCCCAGCAAATGCTCACAGAATCTGCCTGGAGCCAGTTGTGCTCCTTTCCTCTGTGTTCAGCAACAGTGCAGCCACTTAAGCATCTCAAAGACCAGGGAAATGTGGTGTGAGGCAGCAAACTGAGGCTGAGGTTATGAATGTAGCTGAATCAGCATGACCAAATAATGAGCAACAAACCCAGCTGGACTCAGGTGAGCTCCATATGCAGGTATGCCTTTGTGGATGGTGCTGAGCAACAATTGCTGACTGTTTTATGAATTAGGGCTTGATGCAGCCTTACCAGGAACATCCTTTCTCTGGGAGCATGATAGATGTTCTGCTGTACTCTTTATGTTTTCAGAATTGAAATAACATAAAGGAGATGTACAATTAATCCATGGAATGTGTATGTTACCCACTCTTCTTAAGCCTGTGAGAATAGATAAAGGCTTTTCTAAGCTATCAATGGATTTGTTTGCCAGATGCTTTCCAGATGAGTAGAGTGAGGATGGAGAAAGGAGGACTTTTGGCTCAATGCAATCCCTTTGAGTCCTTTCATATTTCTTTCAAAACAAGCTTTTGATTTTTGAGGAACAGGAAAAAAAATTGGCAAGTAGAAAGCTTTTCAGGGGGAACATTAGTTTAAGTAATATTTCGAAGAAACATTGGCATTTTTAGTCCTAGAGAGATGGAGAAAATTCCTCATGGCTTTTCCAGATTCTTAGAAGGACCTTTCACTTTTTCAATATATGGGTGTTAGTTTGCTAATGTTGAGGAATGTTCTGTATGTGAGAAGTCTGAAAATAATAAAATTGGCATTTTAATTACTTGCAACATTTTTTTCCCCACAGCCAGTATGTAAGAAGCCACTTGTTCAGTGCACTCTGCAAAGCAAAAATGGAAACAAGCTATTACTTTGTTTTGTGTTTACATCCTGACATTTCTAAACAGAAGAAGAATGTAGAACACTTGTGGAAGAGATGCTTTTCTCTTAAATTTGCAAGAAATAACAAATGAGAAGTTTGATTATGATGAATTTGATTGGGTAATCATACATTATACGAGAAACAGTCTGAACAAATAAACATCTCCAGAGAGTTGGACATTGTACCTAGTAAAATCCTGTAAACAAAATACTTTCCTGAAGAAAGAAATGTCACAAACATTTCTGTACCACTTGGACTACTGATGGACTATATTAGATAAATCATCAAGAGTACAATGAACAGAGGAGCAACCAGTGAAAAAAATGACTTCTCTTTCCTGGGCTGTCATTGCTGAAGTCATTGCTTTATTTAATTAAAAAAAAAAAAAAAAGACTGATAATAGAAAGACGCTTCATCACAGATAAGGTGTGCCCACAGCTACAGTCCTTGAGCCTACTGCATCCAGGATCAATGCCCAGCATTGAGGAAGGCAGCCTTCTGTAAGTCATGGCTCGAAGGTTGACCACCATCAACAAAAGTTGTGAGTGTGAGTTGTGAGTTCCCACTGATCTGTCATTTCCTTCTTCTCATAAGGGAAGGCTATTGATTTCTTTTCTTTACAAATTGAACTTTGTACTGAGTATGTTACCTAGATCTCCAGCTTCAACACACCTATGAAAGTGCTTTAAAATCAGCTGTCATTTGGAGCTGTGTACTTAACATAATTTGCAGCATGGTTATTTTGCTGTGAGGAAGCACACAAAAACCATTCAAATTCTGGTTTCCCTTGAATGCACTTTCTACGAGTATTTCTAAAGCACAGACTGTGCAGCGGGTTGGGAATGAAGTGTAAAACATCTCAGCACAGTGAGTCTTGGGGTAAGGCCATGAAATGCTATTTGTTATAGAGAAACAGGGAACAGCACTTACAGTTTTTCAGTGCATGCTTAGCATAGCTATATACCACAGCGTGAGTTGCAGGTCTGGAACATCTCACTGTCAGTGCCTAAGACTGAGAAATCTGTATATTTATTCTGCTGCTAGTGCTGTTCATTGCAATTCTTCATTACTGAGTCAAGCTGAAAAGTTAAGGTCACATCTGGCTTAAGTTGCCATAGCTGAATTCATCAGGCAGGAAGGAAGTGCATTCTGCAAGAAAGAATTTGGATGGTAACTATTACATTCTCCACTTTCCCCATATGTATGATAAAATTAAGCTGATTGCTGTAACTCTCTCTTCCCCACATCTTTTCCCACTGCATGTCCTTGACATCTAGCAGTGTACCAATTTTCTTCTCTCTTAAAGCCTTCTCAATGCCTTCTATGCTGCGAGTGGTAGCCACTGCTTGTTTTGCCAAGGCCACATGCCAGAGAGCAGCCAAGGCAATCAGTGTGTGGCTGAGAGTGCTAGTGATGGAGAAGTGTGATTCCCTTGGGTAGTGAGCACTTAGATTCACAACTCCAAACACATTAACTCACTGTTAGAAGAGTAGGTCCCAGTCTTGGCACCTGAAAGAAAATGAGCTTGTAGGAAGATGGCTGTGAAAAGCTGTGGCTGGGCAATTAAGATTTTGAGTCTGCTTCAGTATCAGTAAGAGAACTGCAGTTTTTAAAAGCAACTACTGTCCGCTGCAATGGTAAAATGCTTGGAGACCAGAAAAAAATCCAACTGTTCATGCAACATTACTGCAATTCTCCTCCAAGTCATTAAGAAACCTGCTGAGCCAAACATTACCTTGGATTATTCTCCCGTCATTCAATCTTCCTGCAACATGAGGTCGGGTAATCTGATGATAAACACATTTTAAATTTCTGAGGTCCTAGCTTTGTCCGTACTGAATTCCACAGTTGTTATCTGTGCCTTATCTCAGTTCTGTAAAAGGAAATCATAAATTAGTGCTGCTCTTGTAGACTGTGCTGATTATTAGTTCTGAGGTGGAAGGAAACGCTGATTCCAGTGAAAGGCATCTTAAATGAGGAAGGCTGTGTATTTGAAGTTTGTCATTGGCAAACAGTAGGAGTTTGACTGCACTGCTGTTCTAACACTTGTACATCTGACGCAACTGAATCACAGCAATATTGACAGTTTCTGAAGAATCTAAAGCATCAAAACTTAATCCACAAAGGATACTTAAATGCTTTACTCGACCCTTGTAGGGGCACTCTTACCTGGATTCTGAGCTGTTCTGCGAAATCAGATTCACTGTTTTGGGATAACATTGCTGTAGGCAGGGTGGAAGTTAGGTAGCAGGGGGGAGAGGATGCATGCCGTGATTCTGATAAGCTGAATTCTAGGCAGGCACCTTGAAGTCTCTACACCAGAAGTCAGCAGTCTCTTGAAAATGAGTTGGCCTCTTGTTCTAACTGTACCACAAGCCCTCTAGAAAATGCTTTGAAAAGCAATGCATAGTTTCCTCATTTTATCCTTTTGGATAGTAGGTGTAGAGGGGAACTGCATGCTGCCGCTTGGAAAAAAAACCACTGTTCCCTCATCGTTCTCTCTGGAGAATGTGGGATATTTTCTGAGTTGAAGATGGAGAATTACAGGTATCTCATCTTTCCCCTTATTCCCAGACCTCTCACAAAGTTGTTTCTATAATGACAAAAAGTCTGAATGCAAACAACTGGGCACCAAGTTGTGTTGCTAAAACATTGATCATATGAAGTCTTTGGAATTCTTGGTATATCTTAGCTTCAGAAACATATACAGCAGTAGCACACGAAACTAGTATTGACACAGCAGTAACACAAGATGACTGACTAGGATTCACCATTAGTCTGATCATGCAAGCAACAAATTGGAGAAGATACTTTTTTGCAATGTTATATTAATTATCTGCCTTACTATATTGTTATTCTTTGCAAAATAATTGTTTCCCTTATGGAAATGTAGGATGTAGCACCTCTCATTTTCACCTGAAAGGGTTTTTTGTCAATAGTAGTTGACTTTCTTAAATTTTTTCCATCTGTCTGTCTTTTTTCAGTTCTTTCTGTTGAATGTTTTGCTTGATATCTTACCATCAGCCTTGAAGGACATTATTTGTTTTATACCTAACTACAAAAATAGTATATTGTTAAGAGATCTCTGATCGCTACTTCTCAGAGAGAAGGCAAAAGAAGAAGCAAAATCATTCTAGAGGATGCATTCCGACAGCTCAGCACTGAGTTTTTTGACCAGTTGTCACCACTGTGCCATGAATGCTTGATGGCACACATTTCTCAGGAGCAGGGAGGAAACCAGGTAGGCCTGCGTTCAGCAGCCCCATGCAGGGACTAGGGGGACCAGGAAAACAGCAGAGATGGGGGAGGTGAATTGCAGGCCCTCTGCACCTTCTCACCTTTCAATTCTTGTATGATTCAGTATTGCCTTCAGTAGAGTTTACTCCCCATAAGGTATGGAGATGTTGTACCCAATATCCAGATGGGCCAGATCTACTATGCTTCCCTGCTTTAAAATAAAATGTCATCCTCTCAGGAGAAGAGATCAGTTGATGCAATGCCTTCTCCATGTTGTAAATCTATACCATTTTGTCATCTTCCCAGTTGTGTTCATATGTGTAACTGTTCCTATTTTGGAAGCTCATTCTAAAAACATGCATATTGTTCAGCTCAAAATAATCAGCCTGGTGTTGTTTCATCAGTTGTTCTCCATTCCCCTCATCTGTGCCTCAAATATTCCAGTCAGAGGGAGAGACCTGCCTCTGCTTTCCTCGAGGTATCCAACGCCCTTGCCTCCAGGCTCAGTGCCATGTGCCAGGACACGCTGCTAGACCGCTACAGGCCTAGATACCACAAAGTGTTGGCCTTGAGTAGATCAGTCTGTCTGGCTGCATAAACTCCGTTGTGCTTTAGTACCCAGAATAGTTCTTCTCTTCTAAGAATATGAAAGGTAAATGGACATTAACGTGCTGGAGCTATCTACAGGTAGTAAATCATAGTGCTTAAATGTTTATGTATAGAAGTTCTGCAGCTCTCCAGCACACAGCTATGATTTAGCTGCCCCTGAGGGAAACAGGTAGTAGTTCTTTTACATAAGTACTTTCAGCTAGGGCACAAAAATAATGGATCATTTGGGGCTATCTGCTTGGCAAGTCTGTCAGTTCCACTGCACAAACTGCAGACGTTTCCCACCACCCCTAGTGATTTGTTTAGCAGCAAAGCCTTGCACATCGCTTGCAGACTAGCCAAGCTAGACCATATTATTCCAAGTTTCTCCTTGTATGGAGTTGTGACTTCAGTAAAAGAGCATTGTTTGCTCAGGCACATATTGTTTGCTCTGTGTTTAGGCCACAAGAAACCTCAGCTATGCCAAAAATCTGTGCCGAAGTATTCAGAATACATTTTTAAAAAGTGTTCTTCCATCTAACTGTAAGCCATTGCGCTCTCTACTCGGACAGGAGCACAAATATATAAGTTGGTATTTTATTGGCAAAATCCCTTTATGCCCAGTACAATACAACTAATTCATCACTAAGTAACTTACACAGATGAATTTTTCCTCTTCTGCTGTACATTTAAAGAACAAGCACAGCTTTGAAGTTCTAGAATAGGGAGCATATTTGCGATGCGTGATAAGGGACATACATTAGCAATTAGTCATTACACTCTCACTTTCTTTTGAACACAGATTATAATTGCTATAGCACCACTGAGCCCGTGTAGCTTGGGTGACACTTTCCAATTATGAAATTCATCTGGAAAGCTGAGTGTACTGAGGGACTCACCCTCTCAATAGGAGTATGTATATCTTTGCAGACACCAAGGAGACTGAACATTGCAAACAGTGTTTGGGATCCCAGCATCCCCTGAGCCCACAAGGTAGTTGCTTTCTTGCACAAAATGGAAGCACAGCATTGCCCTTTCTGCATGTATCAGATGGCTGCAGGGAGAGACCTGGCAAGGGCTGTGCTGTTTTCTTACATGAGAAAGGTGAAGCGAGGACACCGAGCAAGCAGAGTATCAGCAAAAGGAGCAGAGCTCACATGCTGCAGCTCTCAAGGAGAGGGGCAGGCCGTGGGACAGGGAGCAGCAGTGAAGACTGGATCTTGCTAGTGGCAGGTTAGAACAAGCAGCTGCAATTTCAGCA